CTAAATTACTAAAATATCGATATTTTAATGTGAGAATCGATTCTAGAACATAAATGACTGGTATCGGAGGAATCGATATTTCAGGATCGATCCGCACATCACTAGCCGAAGCTTTAGACTCCCTCCTTGTCCTCCTTCAGGTGCTCGTGGCTCGCTCTGAGCTGGCCTGTTGCTGTAGTGACGGCGCCTCAGGTCGCTCTGCCCACGCGCTCGACTCGCAGGCGGGAAAGAGCGCGGATCATTTTTCCTGAGATTACAGCGACGAGCTCAACCTCCGCACGGACAGGAACCGACATGCCAGATCAGTGTGTCTGGCATACCACAGCGCACACACACACACACACACACACTTTATCCTGCCTATTTGCTCCAGAAAGAGAAGAATGAGGGGAGTGTATGAGGAGAGATGGCAACAGGTGGCCAATTTAATGCTTCAGCACACACACACACACACACACACACACACACACACACACACACACACACACACACACACACACACACACACACACACACAACAAGCTGACTCACTGCATCCAAGTGTTTCTGTGGAAATAAACCGGCGGTCTGTGTGAGCGGCATCGACAGGGGGCGGAGACAGGACTGTGAGGTCCCGCCCCCCACCACGCCTGAGTGTAACCACACACACCTTCAGCTTTCATCGGTGTGTGTTTGTTTTGATGTGTTGTGGAAACTCGCCGTGTGTTTTTCTACGATCGTGTTTAATAACTGGAGGGCGTGGCTAAAAGAATGAACTCGCTGACTCACCTCGCCGCACACAGGCTGACCACGTGTCGGCCAGTGTGCGGCGAGATTATTTAGTTTAGTTTTTATTACAGCATTTTCACGTGAATTTCATTTTAATATCTTTATTTTCATTTTCCTGTTATTTTAATTTTATTTAAATTATTTTCTTATTTGTTTTATTAACATAATAAAATTATTATAGTTTTATTATGTTTTGGAATATTTTTGTATTTGTATTTTTATTCCTTTTTTACTTTTTTATTTTGACTCTAAAAAAATAAATGAATTCATGGATTTTTAGACGTCATGTTTTCAAGATCAGCATTTGGTTTGTTGGCTCCTCGTATGATGTTAGCGTGTGTGTGGAATCCCGAGGCGTCTGCGTGTTCTCCCTGGCGTCGTGCTGCTGATACTGACGCTTCCTTCAGTCTGAAGGATCCTCCAGCCTCAAGGGCGAGCTTTCAGCGGAGCTCCGCCTCTTTCACTGTTTGATGTTCAACTTGTTTTTTCCATTATAACTTCCTCCATCCTTCAGAGGCGGCGAGGGTTTGTACAGCTGTAAACGATACCTGTGAGAGACTCTGTCCCTCAGTTGTTTGCTTCAATTACAACCTTAAGACCTACGTCCATCTATGATTACAACTTCTTCATCAAACCCGCAGACATAAGGCTGCAAAGATGGTGCAAAAGGACTCCACCCATTGCACAGCTGGGGGAATTTATGGGGTGTTTATGGGGGAGGACGAGGTGAAACATGCAGAAATGTTTCAGGAAATGAAACGATAAACGTGAGTGCGAGGCTGAGTGCACACCGCTGGCAGCCAGGAAGCAGATGAAGAAGAACATCTTAGAGCGTCTTTGATGTCGGCGACTCTGACAGGTCGAACGATCCGCTAACAGGAACACTGAGAACGGTGCCTTGCACTGCAGGTCGGCGCCGTTGCCCTGGCAACAGAGTCAGAGAATGGGGGATAGGAGGGGTAGCGGGTTTCCGTGGACGCAGGCATGATGGGGATGCTGTCCCCACTGTGATGTTTCTGAGGGTATCATCAGTCTGACACGGCTTGCATCACCGTGTGTTCATGCATCATAATGCCTGCTGCTAGGGTCAAAGGTGAAACAGCCTCTGAGAGCTGCAACATTTCACTCCGCAGACTCTGCTGTGAAGCTGCATTTAACTGAATCTAGCTGGACAAGAGTTGACCAATCACAGAACATCTTCAGATACAAACCACTCATCCAAACATCCATCCTTCCATCCATCCATCCAAACATTCATCCATCCATCTAAAAATCCATCCATCCAAACATTCATCCATCCATATAAACATCCATCCATCCATCCATCCAAACATCCATCCATCCATATAAACATCCATCCATCCAAACATCCATCCATCCATCCATCCATCCATCCAAACATCCATCCATCCATCTAAACATCCATCCATCCAAACATTCATCCATTCATATAAACATCCATCCATCCATCCATCCATCCATCCATCCATCCATCCAAACATCCATCCATCCAAACATTCATCCATCCATCTAAACATCCATCCATAATCATCCATCCTTCCAACCTTCCATCCTTCAATCCATCATCATCATCCATCCATCCAAACAGTCGTCCATTCATCTAAACATCCATCCATCTAAACATCCATCCATCCAAACATTCATCCATCCATCCATCCATCCATCCATCCATCTAAACATCCATCCATCCAAACATTCATCCTTCCATCCATCCATCCATCTATCCATCCATCCATCCACCCATCCATAATTCATCCTTCCATCCTTCAATCCATCCATCATCCATCATCATCCATCCATTCATCCATCCATCCACTCATCCATAATTCATCCATCCATCCATCCATCCATAATTCATCCTTCCATCCATCCATCCATCCATCCATCCATCCATCAATACATTCATCCATCCACCCATCTATAATTCATCCTTCAATCCATCATCATCCATCCATCCATCCATCTATCATCATCCATCCATCCATTCATCCATCCACTCATCCATAATTCATTCTTCCATCTATCCATCCATCCATCTATCCATCCATCATCATCCATCCATCCATCCATCCTTCCATCCATCCATCCATCCATCCATCCATCCATCCATCCATCCATCCATCCATCCATATTTGGTTGCACCTGTGCGACCAAATGATCGGGCAGCAAAAAAATAAAAAATAAAAAAAAAAATCTGCAACCTTCCCTGTGGTCAACAACAGACACACATTATGCCCCTATCGTGGACTAAACCAATCAGAGATAGTAAGGGGCGGGACCTCTCTGATTGGCCGTGGTC